GTGAGTTGGATAATAAAAATTTTCATTCAAAACTATTATTATTGAATATTGTTTTATTTTAGTTTGGTGATGTTGGTTTAGAATTAATTTCCGAACATTTAAATCAATTAGAAGAACTTAATTTATGCGAAACACCAGTGACGGATAAAGGTCTTACTTATTTAGCATGTAAGGGTCATGATTTTTATTTAATGTTTTCCATGCTGTATATATTTGGATATTTAGACATGACAATGTTACGAAAACTTAATTTAAATTCAACACATTTATCTCTTTTAGCGATTAAAGCTTTAAAAGTATATATTTGAAAATATAAATATTATATTCAAATAAAACAACGGAATTCTTTTAGGAAAAATTACCAGCTTTAGAAGAATGTGATATACGATATACAGAGGCTTGGTAGAAACATGCTTTTATTTTTGTTATTACAATAATCTTCAAATCACAAGTCTCATTCATTATCATCCACGAACAAAGACGTACTATTCAGATTGATGTCAATTTTGTTGGTTTTTTTTGGACTGTAAAAGTGAATATTTACTTACAGTCCAGATTTGTCCTGCATTCGTGTGTCTTTATTCTTATTTTTGTGTGTTATATGTACGATGACAGATGCATTCAAGCAAATATGATAAATATTTTTCTCTTGTTCTTGACGAACTGTTTGTTTCATGTGCGTTATTTTTTCTTTCTCGAGTTGATTCTGTGTACTGTATTACTGTGTACATTATTGTATTGCAAAAACTCGATATGTATATAAACAATATCTTACTGAATATGCTTAATTGTGCGTGTACTATCTGATGTAATCTGGTCTGACCGTTTACATTCATTCGCAAAATGGATTCGATATGACCACATAGCACATAAACAAACAGCCACCTCTTGCACCACAGTAACGTGTTGCATATTGAGCTAATGATGAGAAGTGGGATCTCTGTACCAAAATACCCACCATCTAATTAGTCGAACGCAGCCAATCTTTCTTATATAAGAGGGCATAAATCATTTCTGCAGCATTTGTGGCCTATACATGCAATGGGTAGCTTACGGTTATGTGCGACTTGTTGACATAGCTTCTCAAAACGTTTCAACGACAGTTTACGTTGTACTGGAGAAATCTCATTGTTGAGGTATGACTGTAGAGCTTGCTGTTGTTGACGATCCTCTATAGTTTCTATTTATTAGAGAAATACTCTATCACGATTGAAATTAAATTTTCATTCAATTGTATTGGTTTTATAGTTTGAGCGTAAGATTCCAAACCAGTTGTAAATATGTGCCACAATAGCAAGATGTTATTCGTTTGTTAGCTTACAGCTAGATACATTCTGATATATTTTATCCAATGTTACTTCAGTGAGAAGCAGTAACGAAGCAAAACTACGTTCGAACTGTTTATAAAAATTCTTTTTCTTGTCTCTTGGAGATGATGTTATTACCAATAACTACGAAGCACATTTATTCTTTAATTCATCAATTCTTTTTTGAATTGTTTCTCAGTATAAAATAGTTGCTATACCTGTATCTTTTTTCAGAATTGCATCATCCACCGACTGTAATGAAAGACCACTATCGATATCGTGTATATGAACATTTTTAGAATAATCTTTTAACAAAGAAAATGGAACAAACCTTAGTGAATCTGTTGACAACAGCGAGATATTACACGATTCAAGCTTTCAATGGTAATAGTTAGTATTAGTTTCGTTCTTAGATGCAAGTCAGAAAACTTTCGATAAACAAACTACAGCACCAAGCTTCTTCTATTTTTTCGCCAGTTATTGTAGGCATGCGTGGGATCGTCAAAAACTATCACTAGTCACACCAACTGGTAAGAGCAGGTGATAGAAGCTGATTAATTAATCAAAATCAAGATTTGAAACATCTTTTGCGTAGCTGTTGTATCATCAAAACAGTTTTTAACTTGCAGTCTGCAGCTACTAAGGTTTTAACCCTCGTTATTTCGTTGCGTCTCTAGTAGTAAATGCGAGTATGTGCACATGGGTAAATGGCGCTTTTGCATACCAGCAGCTGTATCGACGCATCTGCACCAACCCAAACAACCATACCTACAACCATACCCAAAACAAATTCAACAAGAACACCATCGACAAGAAATATATAAAAACGATTTACTATACATTCGATTATAATTATGTTCATAAGCTAATAAATTTTATTTGACCTATAAAAGTAAAACACTTCTAGGAAAAAGATATTCATTAAGTAATATCGTAAAGATAACGACTTCAAACATAATCGAGTAGCAATCGATAAACTCAATTGTGAACAGTCATTTACGAAAATCGAGCAAGAAGCGTGAATTTCCTTTTTTTGTCATACAAACACAATCATAGCGTCAATCGAAAAAAGACTGACCCATCTATCTTGAAGAAAAGACAAATACAATCTGCTAGCATTCGACGTTTGCTTTTCAATAGTCGATTCTTTTGTCGAGATTTAGATGAAATTTTAAATAATAATTTATTGTGACTTCGTCCCAGAAAAAAAATAATTTTAAGAACTGTAGATTTTAATATGTCAACGCGTTTCATATTCTTTAATGAAATATTAAAACACTCTTCAGGGCTCTGCATTAGATGTTCACGCACAAGATAAAAAATAAAAATACATATGCTAATGTAAAGATGAATAAAACATACAGGACCAAACACAATAAAAAATAAGAAGAGAAAAGAAAAAAGAGCAACAAATAATGCAAATCTTTGAATAACTGAAATAATACAATATTAAAAAACTGTAATCATTCACGTGATACTAACTAGATTCTTACTCTATGTAGTATACTTGTATAAAGATGTCTGATTACATTCATCATAAGTCGTACATTTTAATTTTGGTTGTTATATTTTAATTTCTATTCCTATATATTTGTTTCTGCATAAGTTTTTTTTAGAAAGAGTTTTTTGCACAATTAATGAAACACACCATTTTGATTCAATTTATCATATTGTGCTACGATAGTTTTTCACTATAAGCCATTACATTTTAATTTTAACATTTACAAAATCGTTTATACCTAAATTCCTCAAAAAAAAAATTTTCTGTAAAGATAACATAACGAATTTATTTTGATTAAGTTAATTATATTGTGACAAATATAGTTCTCTATTATAACAGATACAATACATCATAATAAGTTGCCCAATTTTAATTTTTATCTTAATAAGTTAAATAATATAACCAATCTATTTCATTTTCATTTTCAACAAAATCAGATTGAATAAATATTATTTATTATGTATTAGCTGTTGTTGTAAATTTTTGACATTACGAGTACCTACGACTGGTTTTATTTCATCTATTGAATAACCCATAAAATATTTCTTCCAAAGGGCATGAAGTTTTGCCGAAAATGTTTTTATATTTAAACAATAGATAAAATGAATAAACATTGTTTTACCATAATCAATTGGAATTTTTTCTTTTTTATCTATATAAATTATTTTCTCACGTAATGTTTTATAATTGTTTGTCGATAATGGCTGAATCAAATTATGTTTTTGCACTGAATGACGTAAATGAATTACAAAATAATTCAAAAACACTGAATTACAAAATAATTCACTTTCTATTAGTTTCCACCAGGGTCTAGGGTCTACCAGGGTCTACCAGGGTCTAGGGTCTACCAGGGTCTACCAGGGTCTACCAGGGTCTACCAGGGTCTAGGGTCTACCAGGGTCTACCAGGGTCTACCAGGGTCTAGGGTCTACCAGGGTCTAGGGTCTACCAGGGTCTACCAGGGTCTACCAGGGTCTAGGGTCTACCAGGGTCTACTAGAGTCTCGATGTGGGTGCTGCGAAACAACATACATCACATCTATCTCGTTGTGGGTGCCGCGAAACGACTTACATCACGTCTCTCTCGATGTGGGTACCGCGAAACCCTGGTAGACCCTGGTAGACCCTGGTAGACCCTGGTAGACCCTGGTAGACCCTGGTAGACCCTGGTAGACCCTAGACCCTGGTAGACCCTGGTAGACCCTGGTAGACCCTGGTAGACCCTGGTAGACCCTAGACCCTGGTAGACCCTGGTAGACCCTAGACCCTGGTAGACCCTGGTAGACCCTAGACCCTGGTAGACCCTGGTAGACCCTGGTAGACCCTAGACCCTGGTAGACCCTGGTAGACCCTAGACCCTGGTAGACCCTAGACCCTGGTAGAAACTAGTAGAAAGTGAATTATTTTGTAACTCAGTGTTTTTGAATTATTTTGTAATTCATTTACGTCATGGTCTCTGTTTTTGAAATACTCGACTGAATGGTTTTTCTATAAATTCACCAGGATATTTATTTAACAATAAAGCCATTCTTAATTTTTCACGTTCATATAAATATGCTTCGAATGTTGAACAATATTTAATAGTATGAATTAACATAGCAAATGGAATATTCTAATTCATATGCGTAGAATGAACACTATTAAATGGTAAATAATATGATTCATAAGATGGTTTGTGATAAAATTTTGTGGGAATAATTCATCATTTTTATTTTCTATGTATAAATTAAGCAAATTTGTCGAATGACTAACTTCACCTTTTAATTTGATATTTAAGTCAAATTTACTCTATCGATCAATTTGTTGAAATAAATGTTGAGTAGGCCAGTTTATCGTAATAAATATATCATCAATATATCGCAAAAGAGTTCACCACTATTATTGATTTGCATCACGACATGTCATTCAAAAAAGAACATATAACAATTAGCAATTGTTAATGTTAACGGAGAACCCATAACACCACTACGTACTTGATGATAACATTTTCCATTATAAGAAAAATAATTATTATGTACCACGAATCGACATAAATGAATAAGTTTCAATTTTTAAATCATTAATTTTTTTTATGTTTAAGTAATCGAACAGTTTTTTAATTGATAAAATTCCTTCTGTTTGTGGTATCATCGTATAAAGACTTAAAACATCCATTGTACATAATAAAGTTTCTTGACGTATATTACATATTGATCATTGATGTAACTGTTTAATAAGTTCAGTTCCAGAAGTAACAGTTGTATTTGATGTCATTTTATTAAATAGTGGTCGAAGTAATTCATCGAGAACCTTTGATATTTTTATAGTTGGATGTTTGAGATCAGAAATAATTGGACGAAGTGGAGTGCTAGGTTTATGAGCTTTTGGTAAAGAATAAAGATGATCTAATCCCATTTCATTTGGTTTAATGCCTGATTGTTGATATTGTTTCTGTGTAATCCATTTAGTCAATCTTAAGTTTAATAGATATTTATTTGTACGTTCAATTAAATTTGGTAATGGATTATTTTGATGTAAACATTCATATGCTTCAGTTTTTTCCATATATGCATCGGATTTTTTGTGATAATCTTGCAATTTACCTAAATGAAAAACTTTAGATTTATCTGTTTTTTGAAGAACTATACACGTCGAACAAAGCTTATGTTTCAGTCGTTTGACCAGTCTACCATAGTTCTTCTTTTTTTCAGTTATAACTTGACATTTAGTAATTTGATATTGATTCAATTGAATTTTTTCTAATAAATTATCATGTGAAATTATTTCACATCGTTATTTATGTTTTCGATTTGTATTACTAATAGATGTATCATGTAGATACTTTAATATAATATCCAATTTGGCTATAAATTGTTCGACTGTTCGGTCGGGGCTTACCTTTTTTTCGAAAAATCAAGCTTCAATTTTACGTTTTAACATAGTCCACTCAGTTGTACGTCGTCGAGAAGCCGCTTTTGGATCATTATAAATAAACCGAGGACCTAATTTTAATAATTGATGTTCTTCCTCGGTTAATCTTGCTTGTGCTTCATTAATTATAGTTGGAGCGAGCAATCCTCCCCCAACGATCGTGTGACAGTCAAGGCAACAATTTCTTCTTGCTCGTTGACGGCGCCCTCAACTCGCTGGTCTTCTAAAAAATAGATCGATTGTTCAGCTTCGAAATTAAAACGTTTTTCACGTAATTCATTATAATGTTTAAATGCTATATAACCAGCATCCGATTCAATATCAAATCCTTCGTCAATTTTCTTGTGAAAAACCTTTCATAACAAATTTAATTTCATTTTTTAATATTTCTTTTTCACGACTTATTCCTTGTTAATATAAAGACATTGCTTGAATACGATATTCTTTAGTTAATTGACGCATTTGATCATATAATATTTAAGCTTCTTCTTTACTTATTATTGATTCATCAATTTTAAATGTCAAATTAACATTTGAAATAAATTTTGGAGGTAAATCATATTCTACACGTTTGGTAGCTGTAAGATAATTTTTATTTTTTGTACTTCATTGTTTCATTTTTAGTTTTAACATCAAATGAATATTCCATTGATTTGGAGTAGCTATTTTCTTTGAAATCTTCTAATGCTTTATATTCTTCTATTTGTACTTGTGCTAATCTAATTTTATTTTCAGCTATGTGTTTTTAACATGTTGTGTACAATGTTGAATATATTTTAAAATTGCTGTTTTCAGTCGATCAACTGCATCACGAATTCGACCAGTATTTGCTGCTGATGATGAAATTGTTGCAGTTCTTGAATTTATTGCATCAGCTGTAGTTTGAGTCCAATAAGTACTTATTTGAACTTGTCGATTCGTGATTGTAGCACTCGCTTGAGCTATATTACTTGTTAATCAATTGAACTTTTTCTTGATAAATCGACTATTTGTTACATCATCACGTTTTTCTTGTGCGTGTAATAACTTCTTTGTCCAATGTTTATCTTGTGTGTCCATTTTAAAATATGTTTGCCAAACTTGAAGCTCATAACTATTTCGAATCCATTCATCATATATTGGAGCTTTAGCTAATATATAAGCTTGATTACCATGACCACCAACAATAACTGATGAATTATCTTGCATGTAACGTATTATTCGATTGGATTCTAAATAAATTCGTCGTTTAAGCTTTGTATTATTATTTTTATCACTTATTCGATTCATTTTGTTTTGTTTCATTTGTTCTTTTTCATTGTGATCAGCAATATCATATTCTGCTATTGATTTTTGTTGTTCAGTTGTTCAGTCGAAGCCGACTCTTCGTGACCTGATGAACTTTAATACGCC